CCACCCGAATAACATTCACGGGCACTAAATATGGATATGCTCACGAAATCTACAACTGGTGGTGTTTGAGTGTCAGGTTAACAAAAACATCTTGCTTTCCGCACAACATTTGTAATATTAGCTGGTGTGTACTCTACCGGGATCATTGTAGGATCTATACATCATTATTCCGTTATGGACCTTTGGTTACCACATAAAAGTACTTGTGACGCATGGCGCACTCATCGCCGGGAAATGTTTTTCTTCGAAAACAAGCCCAGCTACCAAATTTCAACAGAATATATGAGCTTTTCATTTCTTCCCTTTCGACCTACATATTAGATTCTCCTAAAACCTCACTAACAATTTTCATTCTTTTGTTCCAGAAATCCGTTTAAAGGCAAAGTATTCCATGACTACGAGCACAGAGATGTCTACCATGGTGTGGTGATTGACTACCGTGGAAAAGTAAGTCCGTGGTCCCGTCCGCAGCAGTCAAGCCAATTCCTGCATCAGTTCACCGTGTAAGACAATGTGGAAGCAAATTGACACTGCGGATCAAAACACAATACAAACAGCAGGGCAGATTAATCAGTCTTACTATATTACAGAATGGTAAAATTGCTTGAACGAACACTAGTCATAAGATCATGGGGAACTCTCAGGTAGCCCGTGATCAAGTTCAAACTTTTGCTATCGGTTTATCAAGTAGACTAGCGCTCTTCAAAAGAGAACCACGAAATGTGCACGAAGACCAACAGTGCTCGAATAGTTTTTTTCAGGGAAAACATCCTGTGATATCCAGATTGATGCATCAACCAAACCAAGCAGCGTGCCAAGGACAGCACATTCAGCTGAAGAACATCATAGATGAGAAATTTTCAATTGGGATTCAGTTGAGTGCTGATTAGTGGTACTCACTTCAAGATAGCGGCTATTTCTCACGTATGTTGCATGACCTAGCTACTGAGGTAGATGAGGGCTACTTGGCAGAGCTTCCATGCAGTCCTTGTTCAACTCAACTACCATCACTAGGCTTGAGGAGGAAATCCAAATGCCATGCTTGGTAAATAGACCAACAATCAAGTTATTCAGTTTTCAGCACACCGAAATCATCGAGAATAAAATATGAGTGAAGGTGAAGGGCAGATCTTAGATTCTAATTATTTCTCAAGGTTAAAGTCAATGGTTACTGGGAATAGAGTGAGTCTTGGAAACACCATTGTCACAGGAATAATTGGTCATGCATGTTAATCCGTTTTAGGATGACACACGTGATAACTTCGTGAAAGTAATAACAGGCGATTAGAGACTTGAAGCGAACAAGAAGAAGGTGCTGAAAAGGTGAGTTTGCCGGGAAGTGCATATTTTGCTGCACTTGTTGATCACAGCCAGAATTCTAGATTTCAGGTCACCGTCTTCGGATTTACGAAATGCGTGTTTATTGTTCTCGTAAGTAACTCGGTACATAATCTCTTCGATAAGGCCTCCCAGATGTCAGTCAAACAGACTTGCTTCACTCCAGGGAAAACCCGGTTTATCCATTTCAGACTATGGGTTATTATTACATCACAGTGTCACCCGCCACTGTACAGAATTTGTGAATAGTCAAATATCTCCTCGGCTTTGAACAAGGTTAGGTCGGTCCATCTTGGTTGTGTGTGATTTTGGATTTGTTTTAGCAACGCAAATAAACACTGTTGTTTGTATGATCGAAATTTAAGTCCACTGGCGGGCCTGTCGATTTATGGATGCCTCTCAAATATGTTTCGAGATTCGCCCATAATACTATGACTTTGTAGAATACCTGACTTGCCTATGTGGGTTGCTTACGTCACAGTTGTTCTTTCGAGGTTTCTCCCACGCCTTCTTGACCCGCACATGACGAAATGGGAAGCGTCGGAATACAGAGATAAGCCAGGAAACAAGGCAAATATTTATTCGCTCGCATACCATAAGTCTCTCATCCTGTCAATTTTACGCAGTTTGGATTTGCATTTGCGACAAAATCCGTAATCACCCGCTCTTTGTGCGTGTTTCCTTATTAACCGGTTTTCGTACAGGGACTTGCGACGAGTCTTTCTCTACATATTCCTAGCTCTCGTGAACCAATCTTCTTCGTTCTGAGTTGGGAAGAACGTTTTTGTGGACACTGATTGTTGGACCTTTTTCAAGATATTCGTGGTAGTTGGTGGTATGCTGTCAGTCTCCTTTGCATCCGGGAAATTAGGGCCTCGTGTTCTGTTCGGTCGCCACTCCAAGGTGGTAGTCTTTTAGCTGTTCATATAGGCTTTATTCCGAAGTTTCGCCAGTCCCGCATTCACAATTCCAAAGCACTCAGTTTGACAAAAACTCATTTCTGAACTCACCCGCCAAGTGGTGATAGATCTGTAGCGATTTATTTGCTGTCGCCTAGTATATGAATTTTCCGCTGCTTGTCACGGACATTACATCGGTTGTAGCAAGCTAGCTTCCTGCGAAACCACATTTTCAGATAGAATCAAAAGGGATATTTTTTTGTTACATGAGATATTGTGAGTCTAATCGATTGTATTTTGAAATTTATCTATTGTTGTATAAAAACTGTATCTTGAGTGAGCTCGACGTTATATTTTTCTGATTTGCTTTTCTGCTTTAACATGGTTTGTTAACAGATCTACTAAGTAAAAGAACAGAAATTGGTTTAAAAGCTTTTCCAGTACTAAATTGAACAAATTCTGTTCTTCCAGTCCAGTGTGTAGTTAGTAGAGACAGAGAAGAAAAGAGAGATCGCCTTTATAATAGGTGATGAAAGAGGTATGCTAATCTACACAATGAACAAATTTTATTAACTGGGAAAGCACTCGCGAGAACAAAATCCGAACAATGATACGACAGCACAACGGTAATTCAGAAACTACTAATCAAAATGTACTATTGAAGCCAGAAGTCAGAGCGAAAGCCAATCGAATGTAGAAAGCCAGAATGCAACACTTCCGAAATCGGCAACTGATCAATCAATCCATGAACAAGATGTTTCCAGACAGAAGCTACTTAAAGCAGCAGTCGAATTCAGCGGATGCCAGCCACAACGCAGCACATTGCGAAATCGACCATTTGGGCCCCGAGAATTGTATTCTACCTTCAGCTACTCACAGCCGTATAATATCAGACAGGTATGGAGTAGCTTTCAACCCAACCGCTCACTTATGTTGTTACTTCGTTTGGTGATGAAACATTTGCAAGCCGATCACTACGAGCAGAGAACAGATGAACACCATCCTGATCAACGACTAACAAACGGAACACTACCAGATCAGATTTGCATAAAGTCATATGACTTTTTGATATCCGTGTTAAAATGTAGGATCGCCTCAGCCTGGTTACAATGTGTTCATAACTCATGTAGATATCTCATTAAACAGATGTAATCATGCTAACGAGAGCGTCATTTTAAAACAGCTGAGTTTGACCGTTCCAACGCCAAGATGATAAGACCACCTAAAGTGATACGCTGCATCCAAATATCTTCATGCATTGAAAACCATAGGAATCAACCGAACAGTCGTCCAAGGAATCGAATGTCCATCCCCGTATTCACGTGGTCATGGAAATGGCAGACTAATGGGGGTTAATTTAGCTACTCATTATATCCAGCAGCGTGTACAAAACAATATTCTTAACTACCTCTTCGCTATGCTTCCATTTCCGCGGGTTTTGTATTGTGCTTTACTATCTGTGGGAGCGCCAGTCAATAAGCTACTCTTAATGAACACCTTAATCTTTCTGCCCACAAACAGCGGTCCTAGTGACAACGTGTTCATCTTCTTCTCTGGCCATGGTTCCAATTCCTTCATCGAATTCCAAGAAGAAGAAGTAAGTTTAGTTAAATTTGATAACCACGATTTTAGTACGCAGTTTTCTTAGTCCAAGCTTTATAGTTAACGGATTGAAAAGGCTTACGTAAACATGTTGGTGCAATGACATCGGTAATTCTTTATAAAATGGAGCTTATAGTCAAACTGTTCTACACATCAACCGAAAAATGGAACAAATGCTACGATGTTTGTACGTCAATCTCAAGAGAGACATACCCAGTAATTCAAGTTTGATAGGTCTCGTAAAGTTGCTTTTAATGACGCCGTCACACAGATTTCTTTTTATTAAGTTTAAGTCGTTCGACTCACATGATTTCGCGGTCGATCTATTCAGACTGCTGAGCAAACGTACATACCATAAACAAAGAAGCTGATCGTATAAGGTCACTCATGAGGCGTAGATGACACGAAGAACGCGTCAGCCGAATTTCTCGTGTCACAACTGTTATTCGTTTATTTAATACTATGAAATTTCTGTATTTATGTATGAGAAACCAGTATGTGATGAAAAACCGAGAAGCAACGTAAAATGTTCCATTCTTATTGGGAGTCATCAGTGGTGCGCTTGGTAGTTGCACCGTATAACCGTCCGGCCACTAGTGACCAACCAACAGCCTGATTTATCCGCGCTAAGTCAGGACATAACATCGCCCATTCATCAAACAGGGGATCCATATCACTGGTGACTGACTCATCGAGTGACTCATCCCGAGCTCAAGAGAAAGTTTCTTCTTGCCTTGTGACAGCTGTATGCCATGGATTTGAACGATACCCTCGCCTACATGCATTCAAAAAGAATGTTCAACAAATTGGTGCTGTATGTGGAGGCTTACAACTCTGGCTCTATGTTTCGTGATGTGCTTTCTTCAAATATGGGAAGTAAGTAGCGTACATTTTTGGCTGATTCTTGCATGGATCCTGTGAAATAGCATTCATTATGTCAGTCTCATTTGAGTTACAATCGGTGTTGACCAGTAAAACAGAAGGAAGCTTGGGAACCAAGCTTGGTTACGGGCTTGGTTTGTTATAGTTCACTTCGCGATTTTTGTATGGAAGTAGCCCATGACTCTACGCTAGAAACGCTCAGCCGATGATAGCAAAACATCCAGCCTTCATCGATTAATGTCGCTTCCGCTGCTCAACCAGTTTCATATGGGTGGAGGAAATCATTGTGTCACCGGTACAACCACTTTGATATTTTCTTGTCACTTTATAGCAAACACCAATGCCAAGTGAATTACTTCATTGTAAATGTTGAATGGATTGTGTCTTTCATAAAAAGTACACTGTAACCCACGAAAAACAGGTCTAATGTCCTTGAAGTGACTACCTTTGACCGTTCTGGTCAGTGGTCACTTTCCAGGGGGTTTTGCCGTACAAAACAGATTTTACATTCACATTATTATTTGATTTTGACAGACTGACCCAACCAAACCCAGATAAATGGCTCGTTCATGAGAGAGTTTGGCAAGTTCCGCCCTGTCTGGGTTCAAGTCTTGATTAAGTTGTATAGATGATCAGGGACTGCGCTTACTTGATTCGCCACAAGAAGAATGAAACCCATGATTTTCTGTCAAGAAAATGTCAGCGACCTTCCGAACAGTGTGTTATTTCTAGACGCTTTGAAGCTCCATTAATTCTGTGAGTCACAGGATCCGTTCGTCGATAATTTACCTCACTATATCACACATCTTTGATATTGACCTATAATGTATGTTGCCTGAACCCCTACACCTATAGTCTACGTGACAACATCAGCCAAAGAAGACGAAAAATCCTCGGCTGTTTTTTGTTTTGACAAGGACATCGATGTTTGTCTAGCAGACGAATACTCGTATGAATGGCTTTTAGATTCGGAATACGTAAGTTTACACAGTAATTTTGCAGATAAACCTGTCAGTTGTGGATGGGTAGTCCAGTGGTATTGAGCAGCCAGTAGTAGTCCATTGGATTCTCAAAACAATTTATTATTTTGTTTTCAAGCATGAAGAGGATTTATGGAATTTGAGAATATCACGGCCGTCCGTTGGCCCCAAAATAGTCAAACCATTGGTTGTATGTCCGAAATTTCTCACTATCCTACCAATCAGGTTTGTCTCTGTTCTTGCAAGGTGATAGGAAAGAGACTAACAAATGTCTGGGCGCTATCGGTGTTATTTGCGCTCTATGATGGAGACCGCCTGATTCCCACCGTGACTGCCCTTTAATCGATGTTATTGGATTACTTGTTATCATTTTCTGTTCAGATAGACTGAGTAATTGTCTGGAGCTCTAGGCGCATCCGAATAATTGTGGTAGGCCAGCACCAACTTTTATCCCCATCCGTTTTGATTTTTTTTCTTTTAAATAGGGATGTGGATCTATATCAAATGCACGCAGGGAAGCGTCAATGTTGAATACGGTCTTGAAAGTAATGACGTTGGTATTGATGATATGGATGATGATGATGCTGTTGGATCTCCTGAACGCCTTCGTCTCAATGCATCTGTCGAAATGAATCAATTTGCCAATTGCGTTCATGCTCTCTGATTCTATCCAGATTGTATGACTTGGTCTCGGATGTGTAGGTATCTCGTGCGTATGACGTAGGCTAGCCCTAGGTTTTCCTTCCTCTCGCAATATCCTTTCGTTTACAACTACAAGTATCCAGATTGTCTGACTTGGTCTCCGATGTGTGCGTATCTCGGTTGTTTTCCTTCCTGTATCTTTGTCATTTTTTGTTCAACTACAAATAATTTGGAATGCTTGTACGACAGAGAAACATCAGTATTTTCCTCTGTTGTTGCTCCTGATGATGATGATAATGAAGTGATCAGAACCATCGAGCATCAGATCATTGTGATATGTTGGATGTGCATGTATGGTGTCCAGGAACGACTGCGTGCTCACTAATATTTTGCCTACAGCGGATTCGTCTTAAAATTGCGTAACGTTTCCTGTCCGCTTCACATAGCTCCTCTTTGTCATTACCTCTCTAAAAAAGCGTACACTGGAGGAAAAATACGAGGAGTTGAAAAAGAGTACGGTGTTTAGTCACGTGATGAAACTGCTAGGAAAATGAGTGTATTTATCGGGATGACAGTTGTATCTGGTTACCTGTGATAGGTGACGGTCAATGCTGCAAATACTTGCTTAGGAACTTCAGGTTCCATAGACCGAGTACAGCAAGGTTGCCAGTCATCTAGTTATCCAAGCCTAGCCAGTGTCACTTCCCGGATAACCAAGCAATGGCTTTGGGTACCTTATGATTCATAAGTTTCTGTGCTACGGCACAAAAGTGAGTCGAATCTATATGAAGCATTTACAAGTAACTCAGAGCAACAATAGTGTTACACGTTGACTGAAACTTCCACCTGAACAGTTGACACTGGAGGGGCCGGTCAATTTGTGGCCACGTGATGTGGTTTTCCGTGATGGGGGAATGAGTGCCTTGTACCTGAACGAGCAAACGTAGGCGATAATACTAATAACTTGCTGGACATGTGTGCTATAAACAGATGTATGTGAGACAGTTTTGGAAATGGTGCTCCTTGATCAACCGGATTTTTCACTACTACCACTTTAGTAGTAAGGTGTAAAATGACAGTCGCATGGTCAGCCGCTTCTGAAATGTATGGAACAAGACGCTATCCTGGTTGATAATGAACTGATAGGTTTCTGCTTATTGTTGATTTCAGGCGATGATAGTCTTCCAGTAGGAGAATTCCAAGGTCATTTTGATCTTCTGGTGCACCTGAATGACACGGCCATAGCATAAAGTGTACAGCACAATATTCGATATTCTAAATTGTCCATTGGATCATTTACTGCTTGCGCCACTGGGTGTTTAGGGAAACAAGTGTCCACTTCACATTCCATTGACAGTCTAATAAGTTGTAACTTCAGTACCAGAAACACGTACCATCATGTTCAATATCAAAGAAGGCGGCAAATTAAGAGCTGACTCAATAATCTCAATAAAATATCTTTAGATAGAACAAGTGATAATCCGATACACATCTCCATGTGGTTTCGTGCAAATCTCGGGGTAGACATATAGTTAGATAGATAATTAGATAGATAGATAGATAGATAGATAGATAGATAGATAGATAGATAGATAGATAGATAGATAGATAGATAGATAGATAGATAGATAGATAGATAGATAGATAGATAGATAGATAGATAGATAGATAGATAGATAGATAGATAGATAGATAGATAGATAGATAGATAGGTAGTTAGATAGATAGATAGATAGATAGATAGATGGACGGGCACACAGACAGGAAGACTGACAGTCAGATCAGGTTTGACATGAATAGCAGTCAGTCTATATAAACCCGGCGGAGCGAGTGAATCGTATATCAAACACACGCAGCGTCTGACGCCCGCCTGTACCATGGGCAGTGATAATCGAGCTGATGTCGAAAACCTATCCGCCACACAAAAATCCAGAGTAATTCGTTCATATGTGCGAAAAATCTTTTATCATCTATCTACAAACTCCCACAACTTTTCTTCTCGCTTCCTTCAGTTTGGCCACATCGTCAAGGATACGTTCCGTGAGATCGTCGTGGGTGTGAAAACTCACCACAACCCAACGTTAAAGGGCTTGTCCAAGATGGATGAGTTCATGTGTTTCAAGGCAGTATTCGATCAATTCTGGACGCACTGCTTCACAATTCAGCAGGCAAGTTGACCTCGTGATGCACGGAATCGAGGGTGTGCGAAAATTCGATAAACGTCCAGCAAATGAAATTTCGGGGTAAATATGGTGCTCATATCACTAGCAAGTTATTTCCCGTTATCACCCGTTATCTCCAGGGCGACAGATGGAGGGTGAAACGTTATGCAGGAAAATCGGAATTTTAAACAATCAGAAATGGTAAGGAAAAAGATCTTCAATTCCTTGCAACGTGCATATGGATATACCAGATTGACAGCAGCTGAATGAAGCTGCCGGAGTTCAGTCAGGTTCAGCTCAGTTCAGTTCAGCTCAGTTTAGTTCAGTTCAGTTCAGCTCAGTTCAATTCAGTTCTTTTCTGTTCAGTTCAGCCACGACTCTGTCCACAACGTCTGGTCCTAACGGACTCGCAGCTTGTTGCCCGGATTTCTCAAAATAACATCAACTGCAGCTGTTCTGCATCGTGTTTCGCCATCGTCGCGAAACACGCGTTGCGTTTTTCCATCAAGCTAGCCGTCCAAAGATCGTTCGGTATAAACAAAGAGCAATAGACAAAACCATCAGAATTCTCAGGAATTGTGGAGTCATCAAGATGCCTCGCATATCTGACGTACAAGTGCAGGATAGGTGGACAGGACGAACAAAAATAGGCCAGTCGGCCAAACACACTGCTCAAATTCCAATGTTACTCGTGATCCCTCTAGCAGTGATAGGGACGTATCATCAAACTTATCCACATTGAAGATGAAAATGTTCAAATACTGCACTTTAAAACTTAATCGTATATTTAGATGAGGTCGTTGGGAAGGTTTAATTTGTCTGGCAACCAGACTGGTGAGGGGTCTCTTGGAATTCTCTGCTTTAGTCAGTTGTTTCCTCACCACATTTTCAACCTAACGCTGTTGTATCACATTGATCAACTGGTCGATATTCATGCGCGTGGGACGGGAAGGGATTGACTCCAATGCATAAGTATCTGGTCCAGAATCATCAAACAGGTACAACAAAGTAGAAATTTTGGATACGCAATACCGCACAGAAACCAGCACATTGGACAGACCGATTACCGGGGAGGAAGTATACCTGCTAATGAACTGACCAATAAAACGGCAGGCGACAAAACAGGCCGGTAGGTCACTCGGCTGATACACAACAAAATCTGCACAGCTATTCTTGAAATGACCTGCTATCCATAAGATTGCTGAATAACCTCCAGTAACTCACAGCAGGTCTCATATTTCTAGGTTTCATTTGATGAGCGTACAATCCGATGTTCAATAAGGCAAGGTTGACTGAATAATTCAAAGACGAATCAACGCCACCGAGTAGATGCGGTGTGACAGTTGATTCACACGTTGCACGGATGTCTATTTTGGGATTAACGTACAAATCATTCTGCGCTGCACAGACCGTTGACTAGATCTGTCAACCCTCAGACTGCGATGGAAGTTTTCATGTGAAATGTGGACTACGGTATAAAAACACGCTTACACTGCAATGAATTCGTTGCTGTTTGGGGCCTGATAACATCCCTGTAGTAGAAGCCAGCCACTAAATAACACCAGCACGAAATGCGTCGTCATTCGCTAGTTGGTAAATTGTTCCTCTGAGCGCAAGGAATAGGCGATAAGCAAGCCAATAAGCATGAATTGCCCGTCCGTCCCGTTAACTTTTGTGTCGTGACTTTATGAGAACAGCAGTCCTTCTCTCGTAAGGAATGTGTTTTATCCGCGCAATCCACTGGCATCCTACAGCGTACAAAACATCGGAGGCTGGTATCAGGCCAAAGGCCGAACTCAGACGGAAATCCGATTACTTGGGTTACACACAGAATTTAGAGATCGATTGAAGCAGGTCTCTGCCACCAACTGGTGGAAATCTTCAGCTGCACCTCGTCTTTGGATAAATGTCAGGGTAAAATAAAAGAAATGTTACTGCTACTGCTTTTCCCACTCATGTGCCCAGTGCCAGAAATGGCACACAACAGACTTATTCCAAAGAAGCGATTGCGTGCTAGTGGAAAAGCTACAAATGATCCGCGCAATTTAGACAGCACTTTCTGGCATTATTTCAGGCAGTCTGATGAGCGTCAACATCAACATCCATCGTGCTTCTGAGGGATGAATAAACGCTAATCTCATTTAGTCGTGCTTTTGTGGCGTGCATCATCGCATTTGCCAATTTGATTTAATGGGTGACTGGCCTGGATCCTCGCCGGCTTTCCTATTCAAATTTTGATGCAGGTTTAAGGTCTCCGTTGATTCAGATCATCTTAGGGTAACAATTATGATTGGGATCTTTCAGACAGAAAAATACTCTTATTCGCACATTAAATAAGAATTGTCGAAGGACTGAACAGAACCCAATTATATATTTCGTATATACTGGTCAATTTCACCTGGATTGTAAACTAAACTAATTTCCAGAATTATGTTCGATGGCGAAGTGACCATTTGGTTCATTCATCGCGGTGCGCGAATTACTCGTGGTATTACTTTTGTTTCAACGATAAATCACATAAAAGATGCCGCTTCCTAGGTTTCTAGAACACCGTATGCAGGAGCATCATATTTGACCCAGTCGAAATTCCCGGGCCAAGCTAAACGTGAATTGGCATTTTGTTCCCCTGGGCTGCAGGTTCACAAACGCAAAACTTGTCTTTTGCTTCCCACCATAGAAGACATAAAATTTAGTTGGTCGCATGAAACTTAACATGTCATGATTTGCTACAAAAACAACAGAAGCGAATCACGCACCTCGGTCCAGTCCCAAATTTTTATATTTAAAACGATCATCATGTTACAACTAGCAGAATCTCTACAGGAGTGAGGACATCTTCTCTAGAGGGCTCAAGATAGCTCAGTGGTTAAGGCACGATCTTAATCGTCGGAGGTTTCGCGGTTCGGGCTCAACCCTCACATTTCACTCGCTCCTGTCTAGAATTGGGCAGTATCTCCACCGTCGTAATTGTTTGGGTGGCATGGCACAATACCTGAATGATTAATTAATTTTCTTCGCGGATGGTGTTCTTCCTCCAGTGGTGTTTGAAGATGGGCATCCTTAACATCGATTTTTGAGAACATACTTAAACCTGATTAACCACACAGTAGGTTTTCGGGCTCTTCTGTAGTGCATGTACATTGTAACAACCGCGTATTTGGCGTTGGCCGGTATTTTCCGCAAATTGTCGGAGTAATACCGTCACCATTTATTGGTGTAAATATCGGAGTTATCCAGTTCGATGATTCTACAGGGGTCAGTATTCCTTTCTCACACGCCGAATGTAATGCCTTCTGTAAGCCAAATGAAATAATTCGTCCCTTAAAAATATAGGGTCTCCTCTGACTTTGAATCTCACCTTGGGTATTTGCATGCCAACTCTGGACTTAGAACAAATTAGGATCAGTTGTTTGTTTTCATTCTCATTCAAAGAAATCAGTGGGGTGATGTTGGTTTCCAGAACTTTGGGGCCGATAATCAGTAGTCCCAGGGTTGAAACTAGAATATTACAATCGACTGAGGTACCTTGAAACAATTTTACAGGGATAAAAAATGTCCATTAATACCGTGAAAGTCAACATCTGTAGGCACTATCATGACACTGGGGTAGAATGCAGTTAAATGTGACTGTGGAATAATAAACTCAACACCATCAGTGTAAATAATGGAATTATAAACTTGACAAGAAGCAGTTTTAAGAACACGTGACGAATTGCGGGACAAAATTAGGTGGAGACTGCCCAGAGATGCCTTCAGTGAATTCCTTTACGTCAGTATTTGGATCAGAATTTAGGTGACAAACATTTTGGACTTACAGACAAGTTGAATTTGTACCGTTTCACTGCTGATAAAACACTTCACTCGTCTGAGGGCATGAATAGCTGGAGTGTTTTCGTGCACATGATTCACACATCCCAAATTTTGAACTACCGGATTCGAATTACGATCTGTGAAGTGACGTGTTGGTTGATTTGGGGCACGATAATACGTTCAAAGTATGAATTCGTTGTCATTTGCATCCTAGGATATTTCGTTCAGAGTAACTAAACAACACTGCTTCATCCGTCTCCGTTACATGATTCATCACCTAATACCGCTCATATATTTTCCGAATAGTTAAAAAAGTTGGCCTGCCAAATGGACAGCGCAGTCACCTTGGGCTGCCTGTATCTGCAGCTGCTATACGGAATCAAGAACCGATTGAGAATGGAGGCGGGTCAACATATTTAACCTAGCTCTTTCGGCTTCTACGAAGTTAGTCGATCTGAAGGGCTGCAAAATTTGATTTTTAGTGCATTGAGGGAACCATTGATTAAAAAATCAGAATATAATTAATTTTTTCATCGTGTACGTCTCCTTGCC